TCTTCTTCCATTTCTCTTCAGAGGTAACAGCTATACTGATTTTGTTGATAGTCATTCTCATGTATGGTTTTTTTTTTTAGATTTTTATTTATTTGAGAGAGAGAATGAGAGAGAGAGAGCACATTAAGGGGGGGGAGGGTCAGAGGGAGAAGCAGACTCCCCGCCGAGCAGGGAGCCCGATGCGGGACTCGATCCCGGGACTCCAGGATCATGACCTGAGCCGAAGGCAGTCGCTTAACCAATTGAGCCACCCAGGTGCCCCCTCATGTATGTTTTTATACTTTAATTACACATGGATGTATATATAAATGATACATTCTATATTTGGGGTATTTTTGAAATTTCATAGAAATGATTTGACTCTGGGAAATTTCTGCTGTTGGCTTTTTTCACTTCATATTATGTTTTTAGTTTTTAGATTCAGTCATGTTGATACCTGTGACTCTTGTTCACTGCTCCTGGATATCTCCTGTATACCAAGATATTCTCACACTGGGGGACATTCCCATTGTTGCTAGTGTTTTGCTCTGGACCTTTAAAGAGCAGGCCTCCCCCAGGGAGACATGGACATTCTTATACACATCTCTTTGGAAGGCCTGATCTTTAAATGCCAAGTTTGATTTTTGACCCCTTTTTGAATTAGTCTTTGTGAATCTGAATAAGCTGTTGTATCTCCCTGGGCCTCAGTTTGCTTAGGCACAGAGGGAGGACTGAACTAAATAATCTCTAAGGTTCTTTCCAAGCCTAGAATTCTGTGATTCCTTTCCAGCTTGCTTCTCTCCCTCCTTACAGTGTATATCAGTTATGAGCAACTGCTTAGCCTGAGAATCAATTCAGAAAAAAAAAATCTGTGTGTGTATGTAGTTAAATTCAAAATGAAAATGACTCTGAGTCCCTTGGGAATGTTTTCTTACAATGTAGATTTCCTATTCTATTGATTAGATAAATATTAATAACAAAACTGGCACTGCTTTACAGCCATCAGAAAGTTAATGTTGGGACTTATTCTAGTAAACATGGAAGCAGTGTTGGAGTCTTGTCTCCTGAGTGTGGATTGTTGGGCTGTGTTACCAGCTGGGCAGGCTGCATGAAGCCTGGTGGCTGATGGATTGCTCATGAGTTGGGATGACTCAGGGTCGTCATTTTGAACATGAGTTATTGTATTATGTGTGGCCAAGAAATGATGCTTTCTAAAAGACTGTTGAAATATGAAGGGCTTTTTTTTTCCACCCTAAGAGTAGTGCCCTTCAGAAGCTATGTTTTTGAGATTGTATAATCTTTTTAAATGAAGGAAAAAAAAGTTGCTCCCTTCCTGCCAGAATGAGCTGTAGTTCTTGCTGCTGTGGATATGACTGCCTGCTCCTTCTTTGCAGCCTCTAATCGTCTGAGGCTAGGGCACAGGCCAGCACTTTGAAACTATAGTCTCAGGGACTCTCGGGCAGTGAAGATCACGGTTTAGCGCAGAGATGTCGTGGCAACGACATGGGTTGCTTATTGTCTTTTTTTTCCTTCATATTTTCTGTTTGTGGCTCAACACTAGATGAAATACTAGAGTTATTATCAAGCTTGGTAACTTACACGTCAGGGTAGTAGTGATAGCTGTTATGATTTGTCCATTTCATATAGCTATGAATAGAACATTTTACTAATTGATAGATTGGAGTATTATTCTAACAGATACTGTGATCGATTCAACAGCTTTTCCACTCTCCTATTTTTAGCAGTCCTCTGGGTCAGGAAAGTGACCCAGCTCCAGGGATGGGTCTTGATCAATCTAAATTTAGGGATGAGTTTAGATTAATCCAATCTTGGTGACTGCCCATGGCCGTGATTGGTTCCGGAACTCAGCATTAGCCCCTAGAACATGACATTTCATGGTTATAATTCTAGAAATAAAACATGAAGGAAAGGTCGCTGGAGGCTTTGTGGAAACATTTCCTCCCTTTGAAGTGAGAGGCACAGGAAGATGATCTCTTTTCTTCTCAGTATTGCTGTTGTGGTCAGGAACCGTTATCAGTCAGGGGATGAAATTGATACTCCCAAGGGGACAGAGCCAAAGGAGGTACAGAGAAATGAGCTGGAACTACTGGATTGAGCCATCCCCCTGAACCTCATCTCATCACTGGGCTTATTATATGAGTCAACAAATTACCTTAAGCTAGTTTGATTTGAGGTTTCTAGTATTTGCAGCAGAGAGCATCCTAATTGATATAATTACATTACTATATTATGACTGGTTATTCTAAATCTGGAGTAGTCTCAGGAAGTTATCTTTTCTTTAAATTTTAAAGTGAATGTTAATCCACCATATAGTCTACTGTTGTTATTGCCAAACTAGTTGTAATGTAACGATCTTGATTTTCATATTGTAATAGATTTCTTAGCATCCTTACTATTGTTACTATAGTACACTAAGAAAACTTTGAACTTTGGAGTTGTTCTTAGTTCTCCCCACACTTACTAGAATGTAACCTTTACTTACTTGCCTAAGAGTATTTAACCTTTTATTATCTACTGTTTACATGTTTCTGTATGCAATCTAACTAGAAAAGAGAGGATGGAGCTTTTGCTTGATTTGAGAGCAATTCAGAGCAATGTGTTAACAAAACCAAATAACACAGGATTAAGCCAGGACTTGCCATGTCAGGGAGGGACATGGCCAAGGAGAGAGCTGAGGGAGGACGGGGGTGGGGGAGGGCCCATGGGTGGAGTGGCATCCTCAGGGAAGGCTGCTACGTGAGATGGCCATGCACATGCGGAGGGGAGGAGGTGTGGGGCAGTTGGAGAGAGGCTCTGAGGGTGGCAGGGTCAGGAGAGCAGTGCCTCCGAGAGGCTGTATTGCCAGGCAGAGGAAGTTGGACCCACAGCTTCTTAAGTAGTGAGGTGCTCTTACCACAGAGATGGTTAACAGTTACTCTCACAGTGGCACACAGGGGAGCTAGACCAGGGAGAGAGGTTGGCACTGAGTCCTGGGAAGCTGTTACCATAATTCATGCGTCAGGTGACAAGAGCTGTAGGATAATAGCATCTGAGTATGTAATACCTTACGTCAATATGGAATTTCAGAGTTCCCAAAGCACATTCAAACACGTTATCTAATTTATCTAATTACGTCCCCTCACCCTTTTTTATGGATGAAGATACAGAGGTTCAGAGCAGTTAAGAACGTCCCAAAAGCTGTCAATTACAGAACCCAACCTACAGTTTATAGGTCTTTGGACTTTCAGGTCTGGTCCTTTTCAGTAATAATATAAATGACATTTTCCATTATTAGTGAAATTCGAGTTGTGCTAATTTGACTCGGCTCTGTGCATTTGTCTGTCAGCTGGCTCCTGACAGCAGTGTAAACAAAAGCTAAGCACCACTGCTCCTAACTCCTCTGAACAGTGAAAAGATGGTGAAGTATCACAGATAACGGTAGGACCTCCTCAAATTACAGAAAGGTGATTCTTCTCACAAATACAAAAAACAAAAGGCGGGGTGCGAAGAAAGTTTCCTAAATGTTTTAAATGAATGGAGAGTGCCTGAGACTTTAGGGAGCCTCCAAGTGGCAGCCTTTTTGGGTGCTCTCAATATTTATATGTAGAAACATTGTGGTAACATAGTATTGAAGGCTTTTCTCCCCCCAGAATAACTGCATTTAATGTTTAAGTCAATTTAGCAGATACGTAATTGACACGTTTTCTTGAAATGTCCTGGAAACCGCTTTTAAGGGGTTCTGAACAGAATGCAAAAGAATAGAAAAATAAAAGCCAAGTGGCCAGATGATAAAGATTTAGCAAATTGCATCCAGGTTGTATTCATTAACTTGTCCCTTCAGAGAGTAGCAGCTTATTCCTGATAAGTGTAGAGCATTCTGATATTTGTCAAGGACTTTGTGGTTCTTTGTAATTGAAATTGCTAAATAAGTTTTGAACTACCAAAGTGCGGGGTAGGGGGATTGGAATTGGTGAAGGGAGGGTTAGACTTTTAACTGCCAGGGCCCCCAAACAACTTTCACGTGGTACCTGCCTGGCCCACTTGAGTGCTACTTACAGGTTAGAGTCACCTGGAGAGCTTTTAAAATTACCAGTGCAGGGATCCTAGCCTTGACCAACTAAGCTGGAATCTCAGAATTTGAGGAAGGGAGCAGACCTAGTCATAAGTAGTTTATTAAAGTTCTCCAGGCAATCCTAAAGTTCAGCTAGGGCTAAAAACCTTATTCTAGCTATTTTGGCTCCAGCCAGTAAGCTGCAAGAAACATTTATTAAAATGTACATACAAGGGGGGCCTGGTTGGGCGTCTGCCTTCAGCTCAGGTCATGATCCCAGAGTCCTGGGATCCAGCCCCACGTTCGGCTCCTGGCTCAGCGGGGAGCCTGCTTCTCCCTCTCCCTCTTTCCTCTCCCCCCCGCTCATGCTCTCTCTCTCTCTCTGTATCTCTGTGTCTTGAATGAATAAATAAAATCTTTTTAAAAAATGTACATATGATACTTGCTAGCTGTATAAAATAAATATGTAGGTTTTCCCATCCCTGAGCTCAAATAGGCAGGTTTGGAGGCTTGGGGTTTTGTTTTTCTCCTTAGCCAGTTGCAGATCCTAAAGAACACATGGCAGGAGATGGAGGAAGACATTCTAAAGAGGTCCCATGGCGTTTTTTTAGGGAAGGATGTGGCAGGAAGGGTAGGAATCATTGTTTATATGTGTTTCAGGAAGCAGAAAATATGGCATGTTCCAAGTCTATCTAAATTATGTAACTTTGAGGGATGTGATCCATTTGGATCAAAATAATGAGGCATATAATACATTGCATTTAACATGTGTGGGAATTCTTTGCAGAGTAATTAGCATTCCTTTCTTCAGCCTGTATTCAGAGGAAACATACCATTCACACCCTCTCTGTGTTCACATTTTCCAGTGCGTTGGAGAGCTTTTTTTTCAATAGAAATCTTTGTCCTTTTCCTAATAAGACTTGGATTATATTCAGAGAAATTTAGCATTTCTTTTTCTTTTTTCTGGCAGGAATTGATTTTAAAATCAGAACGATAGAACTAGATGGAAAGAAAATTAAGCTTCAGATATGGTAAGTAAAAAAAAAAAATTATACACACAGTTTCTTCCTTCATCAGGAATTGAAAGTGGGAATTAAAATGTGAATTGTGGTAAGTTAGAGGTAACTTGTGATAGCTAAAACATCTTTTCTTTACCAGAACCAAGGGAAGTGAGTAAGTATTCAAAGGTATCTCCACCAAGAACGGGAAGGTAAGGAATGATCTTACAGCTGGGAGGGATCCGAGAACTCATTCTTCCCAGACACTAATTTTGTAGGGAAGGAAAGAAAAGCTAAAGAGAGTGTATACACCTTTTCATTGTAGTTGTTGGCAGCTTTGAAATCGGGTAAGGCAAGAGTAGTCCCATGGTAGGAACCCTGAGCGGGTTCTTCTATGGAAGTACATAGATCTAGGTTCTAGGTTCTCCCAACTGAGGGCCTGGGCCAGTTGCTTCCCTTCTTAGGGCCTGTTTTTCCTCAATGGTAAATTGGTTGGTGAGCCTGAAGACATCTGAGTTCCCCTCCAGATCTAACACTTCATCATTTGTTTTCATGTTTCTTCTCTTCAAATAAAAAAAAAATGAGGACCACCAAACCAATCTAATGTGTGATGATGACAGCAGTAGACAAAGCTTAGAAATTTAGAGCAGCCTAGATTACAAAGCAGGCAGGGCAAAATAGTCAAGTAATGTATATCAGCTTTTTTCTTAGGCTGTTTTTCTTCTTTAAATCTCAGAACCAGGACAGAACTAGAGCATCATATTGAGATCCATTGGTCCTTCTTTTACAGAGGAAGAACTTAGAATGGTTAAGTCCATCTGAGGGCATCTCTCTGGGTCAGTGATAAAGCTGAGACAACTCCCTAAATCTGGAGCAATGTGTCAGCTTTATATATTAGCCTAGTGTAGTGGGTCCCGGTGTATTCGTTGGAAAACATGGTGAAGGTTACCAGAGGTTGTCCTTTTCAAAAATCTATTCATATTTTGTAAGAGGCCAAATGTTTTAAAGATATTAAAAAAAAATTTAAGGGAGAAGCAAAGAGAATTTCTGACTCTGTGCTGAACAGTCCTGACCATAGCAATAAGAAGTGTTTCTAGGAGCCTGTGGGCAGTCAGCTAGCAGTCAGCTAATTTAGAACTTAATATAACATCATAGCAGTATTTATCAATACTCTCAGCAGCAAAATAAGATTCCATTTAGGCTTCACAACCTATATTTAGTATGGCAGGGGTTCTCCTCTATCCTCCCTGCAGAGCTGGTTCTAAATCAAGTAGTGTGTTAGACCAAAATATGGTTAGTTGGCTCAAAGATGCTTGGCTTCTGTTTTCCCCATGATATGTTTGCCATATACCAAACAAGTGCCCTGGGCATCTGATCCTGATCAGTGAGAGAATGGCAGGATAAGATGACTGTGGTGGGAAGCCTGGCCCTGCCCTCAACAGCTGAGACCTTAGGATGCTTGAGGGTCATTCCAGGGGCTTAGCTATTTAATGGTTCAGTGGCAGACCATAGCCCAGCTGAGCCTATTGTCTCTTCTGCAGAATGAGGATGAGTGTCCTACCACTACACTGGTAGTGGTATCACTTGAGCACAGACGAACATATTTTGTAGGGTATATATAAATATATATAAATATTAAGGTATATTATTAATATTTTTAATTTTCTCTATTTCCCTTGGGCCTCCATCTCTTGTTTGGGTTGGTGTGCATTAGACTTCTAGTGTATTTCCACAAATGCCTTTCTCTCCTGCAATTAAATTGTACAATGTAGTTTGCCTTAGCAGCACAGGGAGTACATTAGTTCTGGTGGTGCGTGGCAAATTTAGAAATACTGACTTACCCAGATATCAAGGAAATTTGACTCCCTTTATAGGGATTGCTTCAATCAATGTAATGAGAAATTCCTGAATTTTTCAGAATGGATTTTAAGAGAATGTCATCAGCCAAAAAGCAAGAATACATGAAAGTGCATGTAATTTTGAGGTGTTGTTCATATTTTAAAGTCTTTGGAAACATTGTCAACCATTATGTTTGAAAACTCCAGGCTCCTCTCTTGAGGAGATCCGTTTTAGTGTGCTCTGCTGAGCAGAATTCACACAGTAGTAAGTCCAGCCCAGTTGCTTGCTTTATACAGAAATCAGACTTTCAGTCAAGAGAGCAAAATGCCTTAATCATGAGGCATTTATAAAAAGGATTATAACTACTTGCAGGGGTCCAAGAATTTAGAACTATTCTCTATTCTCTTCCACGTGTGTTTGACTAATAGAACGTGCCAGTTCCTAGCAGGGCCATGTATTTTCTCGTTGCTGCTTTTATCATCAAGATCCAAGTTTCCCACCAAAGTCATTATGAGCTCCTGACAGGCTCCTGTGACCACCTCCGCCTCCAGCTCGCAGACGCATGACAGGCTCCCTTTGCATCTCATTCCCCTTTCCCTTGAAGCCACTGCCTTTGTGAGCCGCCCAGGATTTTCTCCACAGCTTAAGGTCTCTCCTCAGTGATGCTGGTGATAACTTTTAAAACCACTCTCTCCTTTGTTTCAAATTTTAGGGACACAGCAGGTCAGGAAAGATTTCGAACCATCACAACGGCATACTATAGAGGAGCCATGGTGAGTGTGTTTTAGGGTTTTGTAACTCTTCAGGTGAAAGTAAAACATGAATATTCATTTGTCAGGTTTCTAGGATCCAAGCTAGAGTGTAGTACAGTGGGGGAGATAGGTTTTGGAATGTGAAAACAAGACATTTAAAGGGTTTTTCTATGTTCTGTGTTTAGTAACTGCATGCTTTGACGTTGGTCTTCATAATGTCCATGAGGTAATTAGCTTATAGATGTTTTGGAACTCCTCCACACTTTCTGAGCAATTGTATATCTTAGTGAAAGCTGGGAGACCAATTAAAGACAGTGACAGTAATTCAGGTAAAGGCTAATAGACGAGAATATGAACAAGGCCGTGCATGGGAGTTGTGGGGTCAGAATTGGGAGATACTGTGGTTGTCGGGCCTACAGGACTCAGTGACTCCCTGGCTGTGAGGAGGTAACTCCCAGGGGTCTGCTTGGGCTGGCTGGTAGGGTTGTATTGCCCTTTATCAAAACACGAGTACAAGGAGGAAGACAAGATTTGGAGGGGACAAAGACAACCTTGTGTTTTACTTAGTTGAGTTTTTGGTGACCACACGGGACATTTGGGAGCTGATCCCGGGTCATTGGTCTCCAAAGCACATCTGACCCTCTCTTTTTGGCTTCACCTTGTGCCCTTCTTCCATTGGATCTGTGCACTCTTACCAAGCTGACTCTTTCAGTCCAGTGGGTTCTGGGCCGTTCTGGTCAGCAGGATACTTAAAACATTTCTGCTCTGTGCCAGGCACTGTGGGCTTTCCCTCTTCACCCCAGCCTCAACCCCGTGGCCCAGTTCAAGTCTACTCAGACCTCAGGTCTTGGCTTTAATGTCATTTTCTCAGGGAAGCCTTCCCTGACCTCCCCATCCCCTCAGCCAGATTAGATCCACATTTGTACTCAAAACTCCCCATACTTCTTCATAGCAATTGTCAAAGTTATAACTAAGTGTATAATTATTGGTTTATTGTTTTCTTTGCTAGCTGTCCATGAGAGGAAGGGGCCTTGTCTATCTTGCCCACTGCTGGTAGCACAAAGTATAGTATCAGGCACATAGTGGGTGCTCACTAAATATTTGTTGAATGGACAGACGGATGGGTAGGTCTGGCACTTAATACAGGAGTACGGTCTGGTGATACAGATTTTTGGAATAGTTAGCATACAAGTGTCAGTTGATACATTTAGGAGATAGACCTTTTAGAAATACCAGACAGGAGGGTCTTTAAAAATACGATTACAATCAATGCCTTTGATTAAACCTGTATAATATTAAGTGTCTGCGATTTATGTAGACAAGATAGTGGCATTTTGATCAGCCCATATAAGAAAAAATGATTTTATTTTTTTAAGGATAAAAATACTTTTAAAGCAGTATGGTTACGATCTTAATATAGGAGTAAGAAGCAAGACATTCCTACTTGCAATAATCAAGTACACAACGGAAGTGATTACCTCTTCTCTCATCGCCATCTCTGTTTTAACTTAAACCCTCCTTTAGCTTCATTTGGTGCTGATTCTTACCATGTGCAGTCAGGTAGAAAGGGTGTATCACTTTTACCATAATCACTAATTCATTAAAGGCTAACAGTAAAAAAAACTATTTACATGGTGAGACAGTGGAAGAATTTATTTATCTATTTTTCCTTCCTTGTACTTTAAAATTTGTATTATAAATCCCTTTTGATTAAAAAGACAAAATAAAGGACAAACAAAAGGTTTCTGGAGGGTAGGAATACGCTGACATTATATTCTATAACTTTAAATATATGACTTTACTAAATAAAGATTTTTCTTACAGGGAATTATGCTGGTCTATGACATCACAAATGAAAAGTCCTTCGACAATATTAAAAATTGGATAAGAAACATTGAAGAGGTATGTATGGAAAGAGAATGATGATACTAGAGAGGAGTCCTGCTGGGTGCTTGCAGAGGGCTCCTTCTGTCTCTGGAAGAGGCAGCGGAGCTGCTGAGAAGTAGGCCAGGGGCAGGTCAGGCCCCCTTGCTCTGAGGAGCATGGACAGAGTGATCTCTGGTGCCTCCAGTCTGACCGCTCTGTCAGATGGGGAGCTACACACGGAGGAGCAGTCTCACCAAATTTGAAACTTGGGCCGGATCTTGAAAATAATTTAATCAAGTCCCCATTTTATGCATGAGAAAACTGAGGCCGGAAAGAAGAGACTTGCTTGTGTTCCTCTAGCTTTAACATCTGACTTCCAGCTTCTTGCTTTCTGACTGGCAAAGGTCTCTCTCTATTCCAGCAGCTTCTCATTTTTCCCTTCTAACATTTTCTCCATTGTAGATAGTTGAAATTTGGTTTAATTCCAGATTGACTGGTATTAAGATTTTTTTTTAATGTCTTTGACATTTCAGAAAGAAGTCTCTTTTTTTAAAGATTTTGTTTATTTATTTGACAGAGAGAGACACAGAGAGAGAGGGAACACAAGCAGGGGGAGAGGGAGAGGGAGAAGCAGGCTTCCCGCGGAGCAGGGAGTCTGATGCGGGGCATGATCCCAGGACCCTGGGATCATGACCTGAGCCGAAGGCAGATGCTTAACAACTGAGCCACCAAGGTGCCCTAAGAAATCTGACTTTAAAATCATTTTGTACACATTTGTATTAACCTACATGATTTCATGTTTTAAGTAGCTCAGAATCCAGAATACCTTCCTCATTGGCTCACTCAGTACTGTTTTTTCCTTCTTTGACCCAAACTAATCTTTGGAAGTTTTACTTCTGTTTGTTCATGTACAAAAAAAGCCATGAGAATGACCGCAAGCCTTTGGGGAAAAGTTTGCATAGGCTCTTATGCAAACTTTTCCCTCCTCCCATCTTTTCAGTTTTTCCCTGCATCAAGCCTTGTGTTGAGCCAAAGATTATTTGTCTTATTATTAAATTTATGGATATGTTTCTGACAGGTTAGGATTTGTCTATTGAATAACTGTATTTTGCTCAGGCTGTTTTTATAATGTATTATTTTCTCCCTGCAGCATGCCTCTTCAGATGTTGAAAGAATGATCCTGGGTAACAAATGTGATATGAATGACAAAAGACAAGTGTCAAAAGAAAGAGGAGAGAAGGTAGATTTGAACTGAAATATGCATGAAGATGGGCATCTATTCACACTAAGCGTTTATTTTCTTAGTATTACTTAATTATTGATTTCAGTTGGAAAAATATCTGTATTTTAATCCTTTAAAAAAAAAAAACAACAAAGAGATGTAATCCATACTTGCTTGAATAGTGTGAATTAGTATTCGAGATCCAGCTCCATATACTGTGTAGTCATGACTCATTCCTGAAGAATTTGCTGTTTTCTGGGAGATACAAATTAGTCCTTTTTCAGATTCCTGCAGCTTAGAGTTCATGCTGTTTCTTCCATATCTGTGTGAAAATGCCTAGTTTTAAAGGTCAAGTAAATCATTCTCTTCAAATAAAAGTAATCGGATAGGTGAAGTTTAAACAGTAATCATATTCCAATTCATTATTTTTTTCTTAAGAATATTTTACACCATATTAGATTTAGGTCATTATGGATAAACTGCTTGTAACTCATCAAGCTGTGGATGTCATTTATAGGCTTTTCTCTATTTTGTATCCTGCAAAAAAAGCAAGAGTTTATTACATGTACATATTTACTTCTGTGACATTTTCTAAATTAACTTAGAGGCTTCAGTTTTTAAGTCTTGGAATTTTGCTTTAGCCTTTTTTTAGTGATGCATACAAAATGTTTTGTTTTTAAATCTGACTGCAAACTTTTTTCCCCTAAGAACATTCATTTAATCTTGTTATTTTAAATAAACTGGGAGCTTTTTGGGAGTAGATGGAAATAGAAACCAAATAAAAATGAAAGCAGTGAGTACTTGGCATTTTAAGCTTTCATTCTTTTATGTACCGATTTATTAAAAAATAATGAAAAGTCAGTATAGTAACTGTTGGAGAGTTGTACTTTGGGAGCAGGTGAAAGGGGTCAATGAATCCCAAATTAATGATAGGAGCGAGTATCTGTCTCACGATTTTTCTTGTAAGTATATTAGAGAATAAAGTATAATAGAAAAAAAAAGAATAACTTAAGTCATGTTTTGAGTGGAAGTGCTGCCATTTTACTTATGATGATTAAGTTAGATGTCTACATTTCAAACACAGAAGAAAGCAAAGAAATTTGAGAACCACGGAGTTCTCAACTAGATCCTCTACCTTTGGGACTTTGAACAACCTAGAAAATGGAAATGCTTTATATGTTGAAGTAACTTGAACGGAATTTAAATGTTTTTGTTTGCCTTTCAGTTAGCAATTGACTATGGGATTAAATTCTTGGAGACAAGTGCAAAATCCAGTACAAACGTAGAAGAGGTAAGAAAGATGTTCGGTGACCTATTATGGGGTAGCATTAGAGCTTAGGTGCCTGTGTTCAAGCAACTCTCCAAGCCTTGTCATTTTCTTAGTGAATGCCTTCTGTGAGCTCCACCTCCATTTTGTGAACTTCTGTGCTTCTGACTTTTATGTGGACCTAGGTTCTTGAATTTCTAGCACCCAGCCCCCACGTGGGCTATATGAGATTGCTCAATTAAGATTCACTGAGCAGAAGGTAGAAGTTCCATTCAAGTTCAGCTTTGCCCTTTGTTCGGGAAGCCAGAAATCCTGCACTCGCCGACCAAGCACAGTGTTTTCTGCTCATTTATCATGGTTCATGTCATCCTATAATAGCCTGTAGCAGGAGAATCTTAATTCCTTTCATGTCTGTACTCTCTCAAGAGAGAATTAAACTGATTATTGAACAGATTCCCTTAGATTAAACATGATACATTGTAACACAACAGCATTTAGTAGAAATAAATGTGTTTATCAGAGAGTAGTTTTAATAAATTTTCAGTAAGTGAATTGTTAAAGACAACCAAATCATCTAAAGTCTTCTAAGAATAGATTTTCTTTACCAAGGGCAGAGTTGTTGATAATATTTTCTTTTTTAAAAACATTTTTTAGGGACTCCTGCGTGGCTTAGTTGGTTAAGGGTCTGCCTTTGGCTCAGGTCATGATCCCAGGGTCCTGGGATCGAGTCCTACATTGGGCTCCTTCTGCTTGTGCGTGTACTCTCCCTCCCTCCCCCGCTCTCTCTTTGATAAATAAAAAATAAATAAAATATTTTTTAGACTGGTTGTAAAAATGATGCATGTGTGGGGGTGCTTGGCTGGCTCAGATGGTTAAGCGTCTCCCTTTGGCTCAGGTCATGATCCCAGGGTCCTCGGATTGAGCCCTGCATTGGACCCCTGGCTCAGCGGGAAGCCTGCTTCTCCCTCTCCCTCTGCCTCTCGCCCTGCTCATGCTCTCTCTCTCTCTCTCTCTGTATCTCTGTGTTTCAAATGAATAAATAAAATCTCTTTTAAAAAACGATAGATGTGTGTTAATACATATCATTCAATAAACAGTAATATTGATGGTTTTGTAGACATTTAATTTCTTAGGCTACCACCATTCACCATAACATTATGGCTAAAAAATCAAGATTTAAATGACTTTATTGGTTAGGGGACACCGATCAGAACTTTTTCTTTGTTTTCAATAACTCATTTCTTCAGGTTGGCTAATGGGTGTTAGGAAACAGGAAGCTTCTGTTGATTTATTTACACAGTCACAGAAGAGCAGAAAAATGCTTCCTCTTGCTTTGCCCACAAGAGGATTTCCTTCCGTCAGAAAGAGGGGAGCCTCTTAAGTAGAAACAGGAGAAAATTTGTGCACTGAAATGACCCAGGTAGGGTCGCTCCCACAAAGTGAACTCCATACTCTGGCTTAATGGAGCAGGTTTAAGCCTCTGTTCATGGCTACACCCCGATTGAATCTGTGGCTCAAAGAGAAGCTTTGAGTTATGGAAGCACAGAGCTGGGAGTTGCCCGAGCTGCTTATTCTGACCAGGTATTCGGTAGAAATTAGCAGTTTTTCCAGAACTTTTAATTTAACGTAGTTAAATTTCATAAAAGCTGGGATGGGCTTCTTTAGAAGCAGATTCACAGATGACCAGTGTTGACAGTGCAATATTGATAATAAGTGATGATGGTGGTTATCATATTGTTTCTATTCAACTTGATTGGACATAATCCTTTTGCCTAACATCTTTGAGGGCATCAGAAGTCGTTGGGAACAAAGAGACTGACGTGTGTTTAGCATGGAGACAACTGACGACTTTTATTTTTTAAGATTTTATTTATTTATTTGACAGAGCACACAGTGAGACACAGCAAGAGAGGGAGGGAACACAAGCAGGGAGAGTGGGAGAGGGAGAAGCAGGCTTCCTGCGGAGCAGGGAGCCCGACCTGGGGCTCGATCCCAGGATCCTGAGATCCTGACCTGAGCTGAAGGTAGATGCTTAACGACTGAGCCACCCAGGCGCCCCCCGAAGACTCTAAAAAGAGTCTTGGCTCTGTAGAGGGGGACCTGGCTGGCTCAGTCAGTGGAGCATGCACCTCTTGATCTTGGGGTTGTGAGTTCAAGCCCCATGTTGGGTGTAGAGATTACTTAAAAATAAAATCTTTAAAAAAAAAAAAGTCTTGGTTCTGTAGAAACAAAGTAGAGATGATAGGTTTAAAAAATGTTTTGTTTGGGTCAAGATACCTAGGCACAAAATGTCACTGAGATTGATCAGATTTGTCCTTCTATTGGAGCTGATTTCCACAGTGGGGAATTTAGCTGAGCTAAGACATAGAAGATGAAAAAACTCTCAGTTACAAGAGTGAAAGTATTTTGAAAGAGAAGAGATTGGGGATAAAAGGTAGAGATTTTTGTGAAAATCTAGAACTCTAGAGTAATACATAATTATTCATCCAATTATTAAACAGATATTCAGCATCTCCAAGATAAGACACTGTGCCCTGCTCTGAGGGCCTGGAGTGATCTAGAACCTCTGCCCCCCCCCAGGTGCTTTTGGTATACTGAGGAAGCTACCTATAACTCAAGAGTGCCACATTAGGAATTTGTGCCAGATATTATGTGCAGAAAATATTTGATGAATGAATGAATGATAAGTTTTTTAAAAATTTTATTTATTTTAGAGAGGGAAGGAGTGTGCATACGTGAGCAGGGGGAGGAGGAGAGGGAGATAATCTCCAGCAGACTCCGCACTGAGTGCAGAGCCTGACCCGCGGCTCAGTCCCACAACCCCAAGATCACGACCCAATCCGAAACCAAGAGTCAGATGCCCAACCAACTGAGCCATCCAGGCGCCCCGTGAATGACAGTTTTATAATCCTGGGAAGTGTTTATGATATCTTTGAAAAATAAGATAAAATACTCAAGTGTATACTACGATTACGGTTATGCTCTTTTCTCAAAAAGTGTCAAATAATGTTTTATAATGAAATAATGAAAAAGTCTACATTTCTATTTTAAAATATAGACATATATTAATAATTTTTTGGTTTACCTTTAGGCATTTTTTACACTTGCACGAGATATAATGACAAAACTCAACAGAAAAATGGTTTGTATCATTTATAATTTTTATTTTCATTATGCTATTTGTTAAATTTGTTTTCTTATTTTTGCTGTTTATTTATTTGAATAAAAAGGATGGGCCTGATTATAACATATTCACATTGACTCATTTTTTTCCTGACTCACGTATTCACCTGGTTGAATTTTGATTCTTATTTCTGTTTCTTCACGTTTCTTACTTCTGTACTGCGGCTCCTTCCGTTCTTTCACCTGACTCTATAGGTGGTCTGTAATGGAATTCTGACCAGAATAATTAAAATAATAATGGCACAAATTTAATTTTTGCTATAAAATTATGTAGTTTAGTTTTAATGTGGCAGATATTTATATCTCGATATAAGTGTGATCATAAAGTTGCTAAATTCGCTTAAATTAGAAATGATGTCAGTGATGAATCATGAGGACCACCTGGAAAGTTTGTTTTCACCAGAATCCTGAATGTAATTGTATACCTTACATTAGCAACTGTTCTTACCTCTGGCAAGAGGATTGCCTATATCAGTATCTTAACATTGTTTCCATCATTACCCTTGAAACTTTACACTCCATTGGCTATAATTTCTCTGAACTGGAAATAGCAGCTCCCCATCTAATACATTATTAATATAAAAGGTGCTATCCTAAAAAATGTGTTTCTCATTTTAATCCACCATTTCCAAAGATACAGATGACATCAGAGCCTGATGAGTCCCCTTTCTAAAAAATACTCTCCTGAATACTTATTTGTGGTGTGGTTTGATATTTGTATGTTTTAGATAATTGGGATCAAACCATGAAACTTTTATTTCCTTGGTAACTTCATCTTCTCTTTTTTAGAATGACAGCAATTCATCAGGGTCAGGGGGACCAGTGAAAATAACAGAGAACCGATCAAAGAAGACCAGTTTCTTCCGTTGTTCACTACTTTGATGAACTCTTTCTGAGAGACTGCAGCACACCTCAAGGACCCTTTCCTGCTTCTCTGAAAGCACAGGTCGGCCAGCCTCAGAATCACACCACCCGGCTGCAGCTGAGAGCACCACTGAACCTAGACTTCTCGACACAGAATGCCACGTGGATTCCAGCCTTGTGGCCTATCAAGATAACAGGCTCCTTTTTTCAAACATGGAAGCAATGATGTGGAGACATACGGAGGACTTAACTTGTTTTTCCTTTTTTGTCCCAGAAGCTGCTATCTTTTCTTTTTCACTTTGCACATCAGTGTTAGCCTGTCCCTGCTACAACACAGTCTCAGACTCATATTTGCACACTTATGCCTCATGAATTCGAGACAAATTTGTGCGCTTGGGATGTTTGAAAAAAGTAAAACATTTAAAGCAGAGGTTAACATACTAAAATTAAAAGATGTTTGGTCTGGGTCATGTGGCCAAATGTTATTGCATTGATAGAATTTTTTTTAAGGGCTCTAATTTGTGATTTCCTTAAATAAGAATCATTAAATTCTGATAAAAGTCATCTTAAAAATTCATTTAAAATTGTCCGTCTATTCGTCAGAGGCCACAATTCCTTTATTTCTTCAGATTGTTTAGAGTTTTGTTTCATTCCTGACCTTTTTGCTGGAGAGTTTGGGTCACTGAATAAGTCCCTTTTTCAATTGATTACCTCTCTCTGATCAATAGAAGCTACATTTGGAAATCACCTTAATCTTGCGTTTCCTGGGGTTTGTATTTACTATTCTTGCCTATGTATGACCTGTTGTAACCATGCTGTTATCAAAAACATAACATATTTGAACATTGTTGTCTAATTGTGAACTTCTTGAGCTGAAATTTTACATAGGCAGAAAGATGTACCATTTATGTCTTATTTTAGCATCTTATTGTGGTTCTGTCACATCAGCAATGTAATAGATGCCCAGTATATTTTTTCTTAAGTTCACTCTTTAGCTTGCTCCTTTATTTGTAATACCCAGTCCCTACTGTGATCCCTGTCTGCAAGAGTCAATAAGTATTAGATTTAGATTTTTGTCTGTAGAAAGCATACCTATAGGGAGAGATATTAACTTGTTGATATAAATGTAATAGAGATAGCTCTTGGTAATGGTGAACAGAATGGTTTTTTGTTCTGTTTTTATTTGGACTTTTTTCTTTTTGTTTAAACAAAGGTAATTAGACCTAGTGCAGCCTCTAGGTAAAGTCTTGCCTTTTCGTTAGAGAAAATAGGGGCAAGGTTTCCATTTTAAAACAGCTGTTGTTGAATGCGGAGAACCCAGTTCCATCTGTTCGGGTTTGTTCTAGAACTCGGTCCAGGCATTTGGGCCAAAGCCAACCAAAAGCTTAGCTGCCTTTCTCACCAGACACTGGTACTGGTATACCTTTTGTAGATGAAACCTTCACATAAGGAAAAAAAAAAGCTGTTTAGCGTTAACTTATGTGCCAAATTCAGATCATCATGTTGTTGTTGTTATTCTAGCCTTCAGTGTCATAATACGGAAGGGAATAATGAGTAGGTGATTAGGGAAATGAATTCTGTCAGTAATTATTCTTCCTGTTAGGCCTTTTTTGTTTTACGAAGGTTACCATCATGCTTGATAGTTGAGAGTGAAGATGAAAATGGAAATGGATTGCTTGTTACCACAGAGCATCCTGCTTCAGATTAAGACGTAGCATTAGAATGCTTGGACCAAACGTTTACTACTTGTTTGAAAACTTATGTACAATTTAGCAGCAGCAAATATACCAGAATGATTTTTGATGGATACACTAAACTTAATGTTGACAAATTTCAGCCTTCTTGATTTTTTTTTTTTTTGTACTTACCTGTAGGCCTACAGGCACCTGTTGGTGTCCCAGTATAATCAGTAGTTGCTTGATTGAAAGTTGGTTGTACATCTACCATTTTAAAATTAGATACATTTTTGGAAAGAAAAAAATAATTTCTTAGAAACATCTTGTATTTACTAATTTTCTGAAAAAGATCCAAGCAGTTACATTTTCTGAATGGTAACGAAGTACTTTCTAAAAGGCAAGTGCTATGACACCATGTATGAATGTAATTCTCCTAGTAATTTACCTCTGACTATTTGGTGTCTTAACACTTTGGTTTATATCTCAGGGGTTGTCTGCAAACCAAAACTGACATATTCTGTGGTTAGCTTTTTTTTTTTTTTAAACACATTGCTTTGCTTTTGTTTCGTTCCTTCTCTCTTCTTTTGTCTTATGTGGGTTAATAATTAGTCTCCATGAACTTCCCTTTGAAAGAGCCTGTAAAAGTTAGATGAGTCTAAAAGTGCTCTTTGAAGTAGCAGCGATTAGGGGGTATATGCTCTGTTATATAGAAAAAAATCATCCTTTGCTATTTTCTTACATTTAGCTTTGCTAAATTGTATATAATTTGAGCTAAGACCATAGGAAATTCACTTTCTGCATGGTAAAATGACCCAATAAATATTCCACTTTGCTTAATAATGTACATAGAGTGCATTATTTTTTCTATTTGTAGATGAATTTAGTGACAGATTATTGTCTGTTCCCTGCTGAAACTGAAGAAATCTAGTTTTGTGTGAACATGTTTGTGGTCTTATGGATAAGGTACATGAAGACTTTTGCAGCAGTATTCGTGGTTCAGTGGCCGCACTTTATTATCAGTGTGCTAATTTTTTGACAATGATTGGACTAGACCTTTTCACCTAGAGTCTGAGGAGATCAGACGCTGAAAATGTGCTGTAACTCAGTAGCATGTAAACCAGTTGATTGTAAAACGTTTCACTGGGAATTTATTTTAGCCATGTTTTACTTCATACAGATTATGAGAAAATAATCCACCTGTGCATCAGTTAGGAGGTGCCGCAGGGTTTCTTACTATTTACATGAACATTTTGGGCAGTCTTTGTTATAAATGTTCAGAAGACTATACTCTTTACTTTGAAGGACTGTTTTTTAATTATACCTCATTTAGCTAACTAGTATTCTAATACCTGGTAGAAAACCGGTGAGCCAGCCTTTAAGCATCCAACACCATTTAGATTATATGTTTTGTTTTGGACTAAAGACATCATTGGAAAAGGTAGGAAATAGTTTACTCTAGAATAGAACATACATGTCATATCCACTAGTGCAAACAAGGTGTGATCTCCCTGTCTCCATTAAGCAATTTAGCTGTGCAATATAGATGAACGTTTGCAGAAATTTCTAAGAGATTATAACTCCATTTTACAGATTCTGAATGCTGAGAATCTGTATTAAGACTTATAAAGTTTTTCCTGTGAACAGTAAGTGATGCATTTAAGCAGATTTTTTTTCTAGTTCATGACTTAGCTTTCTTTATAAATTTAGTACTTAATCTTTAAAGATGAGCTTCTAAGCTTCAAATTTTAAAACAGCATTTCATTATGTTGGTTTCCTTATCTCAGATTTTAAGCACTCATTTCTGCTGTCAGATTTTTTAGAATTTTTCTTTTAAGAGAAAGGACATTCCTTTTTCCCTTCTTGTTATATCCAAAGAAGGGAGGGAAATGGAATGTCCAAAAAAAAAAAAAATGAAATTCCTTGTCCTAGAGGGAATATGCTAATAAAATTTTTAATCCCAGCACAATTTTACAGAGAATCAGTCTTTTTTTTTTAAGACTAATAAAATTAATGGGAGTCCTGTTCAGTATGAAAAAATTCTAAATGACTGAAATTTACAGAAGTGAAAATCAGCAAACAATTATTTTAGGGATATTTTCAAATTTTACTTCGTTTTTTGAAATGCTTGTGCCATATGTGATTGCATCTCTTATTGCCAAGAACTAATAGAACTTCTTGTTTCATTTTCTTACCTTTTTAAAAATGTGAACTTAATTATTATAATTCATTCCTACGGCCTTACAGATGGGTTTTATTTTGTTTGTTTGCAGCTGACACTGCAGTTCCTTCAGGGCAAAATGCCATAAACTATTTGACTAAAATCATGCCCCTAATGGGAAATATCTAGTTTTTCCATAGAATTATCCTTCTGTGTAGGTTTCAGCATATTTTATTTTTGCTTCAACAGCTTAATGTGAAAAGCTCCTGCAGATAAAGTGAACCTGTCATGTGGTTAATCTTGTTTAAGCCAATTCATTAACTGTATACTGCTACTGATGCTGTGGTTTGTTTTGTTTTGTTTTTTAAATGGATTTTATTCCAGGTGAACTTTTTTTTACAATAATGTTCGTCTAAAATAAAAACTACATAATGAAAATGCTCATGACTCTGAAATGAATTGTACATTTAAAAAATGTGTCTTCAGATTTGCTAAGTGTATGAGTCAAACTGCGGTAGGCTTGAGATACTTTAGAAACTTAATCTGACTTGGAGTTTTTAAAGACTCAGAAAAATGGCTGGATCTCCTGCTCATACCTAGTTCAGAATACATTGAACTGATTCTGTTACAGAACTGCCGCCTTAAATTGATTGTCCTTCCCTTCTGAGTCCTCCCAAGTTTAGTTTCTGTTGTTTGGTTTTTTTACTTCCAAAAACCACAGGCTGGGGCCCCAGCCCTGTCGCTGTTCTCCCACAGTGCTTGTGCATGTTCCCAGTCGCAGCCTTTTGCGTTCATCCCACCACCATTTTGGACCTTCGCTGTTCTCAAGCTTCCCACTTCTCTCCCTCTACTCTTGGTAGACAGGTCTTTCACCTCCTGCCTCTCAGACAAAAGCATCAGTTAAAAACAAGGCTCTCAGCCACCTCTTTGTGCCTAATCCATAGCCCACCGTGGGCCGGCACCCAACACCACCCTCATCCTCACTCCTTCCTTTTGGGGCAGCAGCATCCCTTCTCCTCTGAGCCTTTCTCCCCACGGCCTCTTCTCTGCACTCAACCTCCCACCTCTGCCCTCCGGAGAACCCGCGGCTCTTCCTCTTCCACCTTCACACTCCCATCCCGTGTTACACCTGTCCTCTCAGCATCTCGGCACCCGTAACCCCCCAGCTGTTGGCCTCGTGTCTCTCTCACCTAATGCCCTTTTTCCGCTTTTCCTGTTGTAACTCAGCTTCTTCAAAGAGTTGCCTACAGTTACCGTCTTCACTTTTTCGTTTTTCGTTTATTCCTCAGCCTACTCCAGTTTGGCTTCCCCTCCAGGCCCCTCATGGACATTGGGCTTACAGTGGCCTAGTTGCTCAAGGAGCGGACAATTTTCAGTCCTTATCTTGGTTAACCTCTTGGCGGCATTTGACCAGTATATCTCTTCCTCCCAGAAATGTGCTCTTAGCTTCTGTGACAGTGTTCTCCTGATTCTCCACTTTTCTAAAAATAATCTCATCCTTTTTCATGACTCTTAAATGCTCATAACGTCTGCGATCGGCTGAATAGTGGCCCCCAAGCATGCTCACATCCTAATTCCTGGAACCTGTGAACATTATTCTACAGAGCAAAAGGGACTTCACAGATGTGGCCAAGTTAAGGCTCTTGAAAGGGAGCATTGTCCTGGATTATCAGGGCAGAGGATATGTAATCCCAAGGGTCTTTATGGGAGGGACACAGGAGGAGTTGGAGTCAGAAGGAAACTAAGGGATGACAGAAAGAGAAAAGGTGTGATCATGCAGGCCTGTGAGCCAAGGAATGTAAGTAGCCTCTGGGATCTGGAAAAGGGAAGAGAAGAGACTCTCTCCTAAAGCCTCCAGAAGGAACCAGCCTGGCCCTGACACTTTGGCTTTAGACTGGTAAAACTCATTTCATAATTCTGCCCTCCAGATCTCAGAATAAATTTGTGTTGCTTTAAGCCACTAAATTTGTGATTATTTGCTACAGCAACAATAGGAAACTAATAACAGCTTTCAAGTTCGTATCTCCAGCCCCACCCTCTTTGCAGACAGGAAGACTTCCAGGTTGATCTGCCTGGTGGACATCTCCCCTCAGATCTGCTACAGGTACATCAAACAACATGTCCGAAACTCAAACAGCTTACCATCTTTCCTGCTCCCCAGCAGTTCCCACCAACAGCCCTTAAACCCAGGAGGAGAAAGCTATTCTCTCTCCTCTTTTCTCCCTCATGAGAGATAGCACGATCATCTACCTAGATCCACACACTTCACCAGCCTCCAAGGCTTCTAGATCAAACACCTGAAGCTCTTCCTCATCCATCCACTGGTCCATTGTTTCTGCCCCTGTCTGTGTTCAGGCCTCCTCATCTTTTGCCTAGATCTCTGCAACCTCTCCTAACCAGTTGCCCAGTCCCTACTCTTAGTTTCCTCCAAGCCAGTTTTCACAGTGCTGACAGGAATCTTCTGTCACTGTCAAATTTAACTCTTCAGTGGTACCTCACAACCTTGCGGTAGAAGCTAAACTTTTGAGCCCGGCAAATAAAGAGCTTTACCACTGCCACATCTTTCTCTCCAGCCTTGGATTTTGTCGTAGCCTAACTCATACCCATTTTGAACATCACCAGTAATTGCAATTTCCCGAACACACCATACTTTCTCATTCCTTTGCTTATGCTGCTCCTTTTACTGACTTCCTACCCTTTTTCTGGCTAACTCTTCCTTATCTTTCGAGACTCAGTAAGGGTTTCTCCAGGAAGACCTTGGGCACAACACATGCAGGTTAGGATGCCCCTCCTGTGTATGCCCAGAGTATCAGTGCACTGGATTCGAACTGTCTGTTTCTTCTCTTCCCTCTAGACTCTAAGCTCCTGTAAGTGCGGGGACCATGTCTTTAGCTTTTGTATCCATAGGATCCAGTAAGGAGCCTGGCACATGGTAAGTGTTTAATAAGCGTTGGAAGAGAATCAGTGAAATTCAGCAGTCATCAAAATTAACATGTTGTTGAAGAAAGCTAAGTCATTTTGGAGCTGTTTTGTTTTCCATTTACTTCTTAATTAAGAAAAATTTAAGGTAGGGCCACCTGGGTGGCTCAGTCAGTTAAGTTTCTGCCTTTGACTCAGGTCATGATCCCAGGGTCCTGGGATCGAGTCCTGAATCAGGCTCCTTGCTCAGCGGGAAGCCTGCTTCTCCCTCTGTGTCTGCCGCTCCCCCTGCTTGTGCTCTCTCTCTCTCTCTCTCTCTCTCACAAATAAAATCTTCAAAAGAAAATACCAAAAAAGAGGAAAATTTAAAGTAAATTCATTCATGCCTCTGTAAGTACAGCAATAAAAAGAGAAGCCTCTTTATCTGTTTTTAATTCTAGCCCTTACCTTACATTATTTTAATCTTTATTAAATATAGAATTTCCTTTTAATACGATAAATCACCCAGAATGCTACTTATGTGTTGATAAATTGAGTAAACCTTTTCTCCCTTATCTTCATGTACCCTACCCTCAAAATTTAGGTTTTTACCCTCAAAATTAGTTCCAGGAATATATGAGGATGCCCCCATAGCAAATAAAATTAATTTCTGTCCCTCGGAAGTGCTCTGCTTTCTCACACTTTGAGGCCTTCCCACTTGTTCCTCCATTTCTTCCCTATTCTTATCTTTGCATCAGGCAGAGAACTGAATGAGTGAATATCTTTAGGAAAACTTCACACATCTGGACTGGGTGCTCTTCCCCCTTCCTGTATATTCTCACAGCACCCTATATCCACCTGTCTGGCTTCCCACGAGACCGTAAGCTTCATGCAGACAGGAGCACATCTGTTTCATGGTGTATTCCCAATGCCTAGCATTGTGCCTGATACTTTGTAGGCATTCTGCAGGCATTTTGAATGAATGAATAAATGGTTGAGTAAATATAAATCTAACAGCAGGACCAGAAAACAAAGCTCAGGTGAATTCATTAGTATCTTGTGAATTGCTTGCAGGTCTGTCAAAGCCTTATTTGATCAATTGCTGAAGTACGGTATCATTTCTGTGTTTCCCCCCACCCCAGCTCCCCACATGCACCCATTCTGAGGAATTCTCAGCAGTCTATATCCATCCAGATCTATGGCATGTGCCAGCGTCCTTCTGCCAGTCACTTCTTAGGGATTTAGCTGTCATCACTTAGTACCTTAGGTTTTTGAGTCTTTGGGGGAAGCTTATAGTAAGTGCATAAAAACTTGAGTCAATGGCACTGCTACTTAGCCTCAAACGCCTCTCTTATAAACAGCATTGTTGAAGTCCATGTAAAAGTGCTTTTTAAACAGCAATGCATTATATAAATGTAAGGTACTATTATTCGGAGAAAACTTGAAATTAGTTTTTCTAGAAAGTAAATAAACATGAATGCTGAAGATGACTATTTTATTGGTGACTTTGTCAATTTGGTCTAGTTGCTTTCCTCTTTTCTGTTCCAAAAGACATCAGTTAAAGATGCCTTTACTGGCGGGGGGACAAACTCATTACATTTTGCATTACCTTCCTATTTTTTTAAACTAGATTTGAAGACTGGGCGCCTGGGTGGCTCAGTTGGTTAAGCGACTGCCTCCGGCTCAGGTCATGATCCTGGAGTCCCGGGATCGAGTCCCGCATCGGGCTCCTTGCTCAGCGGGGAGTCTGCTTCTCCCTCTGACCCTCTTCCCTCTCGTGCTCTCTAGCTCTCATTCTCTCTCTCTCAAATAAATAAATAAAATCATTTAAAAAATAAATAAATAAATAAACTAGATTTGAAGACTAAGATTGAACTGAAATATGGTCAAGATACTATGAATACAAATTCCCTCAGCTCCCTCGAGGCATATTGAGTTGCCTACTTCCAAAATATTTGAGGCAGCTTTAACCAAGACACAGAGATCTAGTTACGGTTTGGGGTAATCAAGTCATTAAAATAGGGATACAAGAATAAGTCATTTTCTGAAGTCATGGCAGTAATTATAATAACCAAAACCCGGAAGGTAAGTTTAGCTCCAAGCTTCTTGGGAGTCAAGATAAAGCCTGAATATGACAAGTTAGCACTCAGAGCTAAACATATGCATTTGTCAGGAGAAACAAAACCTTTTTCTAGCCCTGAACTCAAATAGTAAAGCATGGATCTATTAAAGATATTCAACAATGATAATTAAAGTTTTTTTTAAAGATTTTATTTATTTATTTGAGAGAGAGTGAGACGGGGTGGGGGGGAGAGAGAGAGCGAGGGCGAGAGACAGAGAGAGAGAGAGAGAGAGACAGAGAGAGAGAGACAGAGGGAGAGAGACAGAGAGAGAGGGCACACGTGCATGAAAGCGGGAGAGGCAAAGGGAGAGGGAGAAGCAGGCTTCCCGCTCAGCAGGTGGCTCGATGCGGGACTCAATCCCAGGACCCTGGGATCATAACCTGAGCCCAAGGCAGATGCTTAACCTACTGAGCCACCCAGGCGCCCAATAATTAAAGTTTTATAAAATGTGCAGGAAAAATGTAGATGGCCATTTGTTGTATAAAAATCTTAATTTATGCTAAGGACCTGAGTACATTATGCTTCTGTGAAGGCATTTCTGCATGGAGCTGAAGTAATGGAACTGCATTTGATAACTTTGATTCAGGATAGAACCAAAAGAATCTATGTAACGGTGAGTCACTCTACCATTTTGCACTCTCATGAGTTTCCATAGGTGCTCATTTCAAAATGAAGTATTTTGTGGAGTAAATGGAAAATATATATGTCTGTTTTCAATGGGCAAAGGTGAAATTTTACCATAAGAGTTAAACTCTTGTATTATTTGAAGGCCCATTTTCAGAGGTAAGAGGCAAAACATCTTCATTCAGGTCCCAACTTTGGCCTACTGTTATTTGTCTTTTCAAAAGAGTGTTGGTTTCCAAGAGCTTTATTCATGATAGACATTAAAGAATGAGTAGGAATGGCTAACACTTATACAGCACTTACTGTGCAGGTACAATTCTGAAAATAACCCTTGAGGTATTATTACCATCATTATTCCCATTAAACATGGAGAAAAATCTTAGATGTGAATGATCAGGGTAACCTTCTGATTTTAATTTTTAAACCTCTCAGAAATTGTTAAATTAATATAAAATAGCAAATGTTTATAAGCTCCATTTTTAAAATTATTTCAGTCACTGAATATTTAGTGAGCACCTTTTAGGTGCTGTGGAAACAGCAAAACAAAACAAAGCCCCTACCCTCCAAAAGTTTACATTTCAGTTGGCGACACAAATAAGCAAATGAAAAGAGAGCAGGGAGATTTTACGGTTAATAGGGTGGGCGATAGGAGAACGCCTTCAAAAACAACATTTCTGGGGGCGCCTGCATGGCTCAATGAGACTCTTGATTTCGTTCTCAGGGTTGCAAGATGGGGCTCCTCCCTGGGCCGGGATGGAGACTGCTTAAGATTCTCTCTCCCTCTCCCACGTCCCCCCTCTCTCAAAAAACCACGACTTTTCTGAAGACTTGGGGGTGTGGGGACTAGACACACAAAAAAACAACCCTGAGAAGGATAGCTTCCTTTATTACTATTACATACTTTTATTATTATGAGTTATCGCCTGGGTTACCGCTATATGGGTATGTCATATGGTATATGACAGAGCACGACAGTTCCTGCAACTGTGCAAATGGCAAAATATGCCTTGAAAAAGACAAGTTTATTTAGAATAAAACTTAAAAAATAGAAAGGACAACTTTATTTAGAAACGGAATCCTCCTTCTGTCCAGAGGGGCTTTTCTTTAGTTGATCTGGAGTCGTCCCCTGTTCTGGCTCCAAAGCGGGCTGAGGAACCTCCTGTCTTCCTAGTGACCTCCCGCCGGCACCGATGGCCTGATCAGTGTGTACCAGTGAGTGGTGTTGGTAGTGGCGGGGGTCGAGGCCCTCAGCTACAGTCGCCAGTGAACGCGGCCTAGGCATCACGCCGGCCCCAGACGCCAAGTGGGGCAGAAAGCCTGGCGGTGAGGCCCGCCCCCGCCCCGCCTTCCAGCCTCAATCGCCACACCCCCCTCCGCCGGGCCCCAACCCCGCCGAGGAACGCCGCCCAGCCTCCAGCCCCCTCCGCCCCGCCCCGCCCAGCTTCCAACCTCTTCCGCGGCGCCCCAACCACCCGCTTCTTCCACGCCCTCCGCCCCTCCCCGGCCCGCCCCGCCGCGCCCCGCCCTCCTCCAGCCGCCTCCGCCCCTCCTCCAGCTTCCTCCGCCCCTCCTCCCACTCCCTCCGCGGCGCTCCACCCCGTCCGTCCAGCCCCCCTCCGCCCCGCCTCCAGCCTCCTCCGCCGCGCCCCGCCCCCTCCGCCTCTCCTCCAGCCGCTCCGTCCCTCCCAGCTCGCTCCCCCGCGCGGAGCTCAGCTCTGTCAGCGGCCGGTGCACCTCGCGTCCGGGTCAGGCCTCCGGGCCGGCTTCCGCGGTCGCCATGACGGCGGCCGTGTTCTTCGGCTGCGCCTTCATTGCCTTCGGGCCTGCGCTGGCCCTCTACATCTTCACCATCGCCACCGAGCCGTTGCGCGTCATCTTCCTCATCATCGGGTGAGGCGGTTGCTCCGGGAAACCCGGACCCGGGGCTCTCCTCCCCCGCGGGAGGTACCGGCGACCCCCGGCGTCCCCGCCAAACGGCTCGACCTTGTTGGGCTTTGGAGGGGAGAAGGGTTGGGAGGGGGAGAGCCGGGATCCCGCTTTCCTGGTATTCCTCGTCCTCCGAGGGTCTGCGGGAAAAGAAAAAGAGCCCCGGGATTCCACAGGGCGGGCTTTGGGGAAGGAGCTCACACTGTGGGTCTCAGAAAACCCTGATGCATGGCCCCTGAGTTTTTGCCGAGGGTCCGTGGGTGGGCTCTGGTGAGTTGTGAAGCCATTAAAATTGTATGAAAAAATTGTGGGTAAGTTCAAATATTCATCTCTTATTTCACTGGAGGGAGTCCCTAATTTCCCTCAGATTCTCACAGGCATCTGTAATCAATCCCAAAGGGGTTAAGAGCACATCAGCCCCGGAGCTTAGGTGCTTTAAAACATACCCATGCCCGACCCCTACCCCAGATCAGCCAAATTGTAATATCTAGGGGGTGGGATTCGGCTACGGATTTTTTTTTAAGCTCCCCAGGTGATTCAGGTGTACAGCTAAAGGGTGGAAACCCGTGAAAACACCGAAACACCCGTCAGTGCATCTCTTTGCGGGAGCTTGGTAAATACTGAACTCTTGCGGCGAATGTGGTCATAATCCCGATTTTTCAATTGTCTGGCAGCTCCTCCGGGGCTCCCTACGTCCCCCTCCACCTTTGAGTCTCACTTAGTACTGGGAGAAACAGCCACCGTAGGCCAGCGTTAACCACCTTTTCTGAGCTGCTCCACCTCTCACAACTGTATTGAAAGTGCCGCATCAGATGTGTGTCATTTTAAACACAATAGAGATTTGGGCAAAAAGTTTGTAAAGCTTGTTATAATCATTAAAATCCACAGGTAATGTTGTACAAGCCAGGCCTGGAAAGCTTAGATTTCAACAGGTTTTCAACCTCTGAATTTTATACCAATCACTCTGTTAATAGAGATGTAGACCTTTTTTTTTTTTTTTTTTGGAAAAGACACATATTTACGCCATCAGTGGGCATGGGCAAAGCATTAATTAGGAAGAGTAGCAAATACCAGGTTTCTAGCTAGATAGTCCTTAGCAGATAGTCTCCAGGTGTACTTTAGAAACAGCAGGGCCACTAAAAAAAAAAAAAGATTGTTAGGAAAAAATCTCCCATTCCTCTTGGACTGCATGTTCATCTCACCAGGGAAAAGGAACCATTGATTAAGAACAAGTGATCCAGGGCATCACTTTATGAGGACTTTTGACTTTTTCCCCCCTCTTATTAAAGAGTCAGAAAATCTGTTCCTTCTCAAGTAGAGTTTTTTCACTTTTAAATCATTATTAATCCTGTTCACTTATACCTTTTTCCCCCTCTAATTTTCAGAGCTTTTTTCTGGTTGGTGTCTCTGCTGTTTTCCTCCCTTTTTTGGTTCATGGCAAGAACCATTACTGACAACAAAGATGGACCAATACAGAAATATCTGCTGATCTTGGGAGTGTTAGTCTCAGTCCTTATCCAAGAAATGTTTCGGTTTATGTATTATAAACTTTTAAAGTAAGTTAAAATTTGCTTTACCTTTTTTTCATTTATATTTGAATTACGATTTAGTAGTTTGAAACACTAATAGAGTGTGGTATTGAGGGCCTGTGCCTTACAGAGTTGAAAGTCAAGTGATTGTACATTCCCAGCCTGAAAATATTGAGTATTTTTTTTTAAGATTTGTTTTAGAGAGAGTGTGCGCATGAGGGGGCAGAGGGAGAGAGAGAGGGAGAATCTCACGCAGACTCCCTGCTGAGAGTGGAGCCCACTCAACTTGGGGCTTGATCCCACAACCCTGAAATCATGACTGGAGCTGAAATCAAGAGTCGGACACTCAACCGACTGAACCACCCAGGTGCCCTGCAAATATTGAGTATTTTAACTTGTGGACATTTCTTTCTTCACTCATTCAAAAAATATTTCTTAAGAATTTACTCAGTGCCAGGCACTGTCCTAGGCACTTTGGGGATATGTGATGATTAAAAGACAGTCTCTGTCTTCATGGAGGTTATAGTGGAAAGAGACAACACTGAATGAACAAGAAAATACATTGTATGCTAGAAGATAGTAAGTGCCCTGCAGGAAAATAATCTAGAGAAATAGTCATTGAAACAACAAGAAAAACTGTTCCAGCTTAGAATTAATGTGTGCTTCTCTTTGCCACCACTGAAAATAAATCATTCTTATGGAGATTATACCTACCATTATTTTGACTGTATCAGGGGATAACAGTTTATTTTGTGATATTTCATGTGATTTCATATCTATAATAGAAAAATACATTTAAAAAGCCATGGTTATGAGTTCCCTTTTTAGGCCAGGATGTAGGTCATCTGTAGGATCCATGAGGACCTCACATGAAACCACTGATTTGAAACACAGCTTGAACTTAGAACCATATTTTCTTTCAGGCAGTCATGAGGTTGGCTTTGATTATGTAGTAAGGCTTATAAAGTCATAAGTGTGCTCTTTTTATTTCTGAAAATGAGATAAGGCATTCCACAGATTTCATGTAGTAATCAAGACAGAACCTCAACAACATCTCTTGTAATAGGCTTCTGATAATTTGTTCCTGCCAATATGCCAGGCCTTCTGTATTTTTTACTTGTTGCTTTTAAAGATTTTACATATTTATTTATTTATTTAAAGTGTGAGGGTGGGGAAGGGCAGAGGGAGAGAGAATCTTAAGCAGGCTCCATGCTCGATGTGGAGCTTGATGCGGGGCTCCATCTCACAACCCTGAGATCATGACCTGAGCTGAAATCAAGAATCAGAGGCTTAACCGACTGAGCTACCAGGTGCCCCTACTTGTTGCTGTTTTTCTTTTTTAAAGATTCATTTATTTATTTTAGAGAGGGTGGGTAGAGGAGGGAGAGGGAGAATCTCAAGCAGACTCCACATTGAGCAGAGATCTCATGGGGCTCTGTCTCATGACCCTGAGATCATGACCTGAGCCAAAACCAAGAGTTGGACGCTCAACCAACTAAGCCACCTAGGCGCCCCCTTACTTGTTGCTTTTAATAACAGATATTGAAACTTAATAATGAAGCAATTTTAATTACAATAGCAAACCTGGAAGCCATTGCTTAGAAGCAAAATTCTTAGAAAAGGTTTAAAAATGAAATTTCCATTAGTTTTTGGAAATATTAAAGAGCAACAACCAAATACCAACAATTACATTTAAGTTTCCACAAGAATACAATCCTTAACAGATGGACCATCTATTCAGCTGTGGTTAAATGTTTCTGGTATGTAGCAGTTACTTTCATTCCAAAATTTAATCTTAACGGTAGAATATATTCAGGTAATCAAAATCTCCCTCTTTCTGACCCCCGCCCCACATAGCCAAATGAAATCCCTGTTACATGGTTGTCATCTTGTCCCTTTCAAGGCTACACATACCTCATTTCTTCACCTGGCCCTCAGAAGACATAGATGTGGCTTCTAAACCTTTTCCATCTCTTTTATGTCGGTAGACATCCCCCCCTTTTTTTTAAGATTTTATTTATTTGAGAGAGAGAGAATGAGATAGCACGAGGGGGAAGAGGGTCAGAGGGAGAAGCAGACTCCCCGCTGAGCAGGGAGCCCGATGTGGGACTCGATCCCGGGACTCCAGGATCATGACCTGAGCCGAAGGCAGTCGCCCAACCAACTGAGCCACCCAGGCGCCCTAGACACCCCTTTTTGTTAGTGCCTGGAGTTTACCTGTGCTTAGGACCCAGCACAATACCCTGCTGTGGTCGAGGTAGTACAGAGATCAATGGCCTTTTGCACCCTTGCTTGGGCACTGTACTCTTAGTCTCAGGTTGCACTGGTTTTTTCCTGTCAGCAATATCATTGGCTCATGTTGGTTTTACGTTTTCACATATGTTGGTCCTACTTTTGAAGCAGACCTAATTTTGAATAGATTTTCACAGTTTAGGGACATGGGTTTAATAACCCCTTAGGATATTAGGATCTAAAATCCGACTTACGGGCGCCTGGGTGGCTCAGTTGGTTGAGCGACTGCCTTCGGCTCAGGTCATGATCCTGGAGTCCCGGGATCGAGTCCCACATCGGGCTCCCTGCTCGGCGGGGAGTCTGCTTCTCCCTCTGACCCTCCCCTCTCTCATGTGTTCTCTCTCTCTCTCTCTCTCTCTCATGCTCGCTCTCTCAAATAAATAATAAATAAAATCTTTAAAAAAATAAATAAAATAAAATAAAATAAAATAAAATCCGACTTACCCTGAGTGACTAAATCTGCTGTTCTTTACCACCTTGTTTTGTCATGGATTCTACCTGGAATGCAACCTTTTATTGGCACTGTTCTACAGTTCTAAAGGACTACAAGCTGAACATAGGTTGCCATTTGTACGGCAAAGGAATTACAAGTCAGTCAAGGCTTTCATGCCACCCAGTTCAGAGAAGCCTCTTTGGCCTTCTAGGAAAACCATGATTATTCCTCTGAAAGGGCCTTTGGAAATTAGCAAACAGATAGTAGGACAAACCTGTATTAACATGTGCCTTTACACTGCCATTGCAAAATGCATCTCCACCAAGTCTTTGGATTATTGTACAATATTTTTCTAGCAAATTTTAGACATGTTGGCTGTCATGTAGTTGTATGTTAAAACAAGTTTGAGAATTATTATGGTACTTTATTCATGACTAACATATAAATATGTTTAACTTGCTCTCATATGCTGTACTACATCCAAATATAGGAACTTTGTTTAATTACTATTTTAACTATCTCCACTTCCAAAGTAGGTTTTCAAATTTAAAGTACTGCCTCAGTCACATTTTTGCTATCTGAATTTGGTGCCAAGATTAAAACGTGGAAGGTTTGTACCAGTTTTTTACATATATGAAACTGATTCAAAATATTTATCACTGGGGCGCCTGGGTGGCTCAGTTGGTTAAGCAACTGCCTTCGGCTCAGGTCGTGGTCCTGGAGTCCTGGGATCGGTCCCGCATCGGGCTCCCTGCTCGGCGAGGAGCCTGCTTCTCCCTCTAATCTTCCCCCCTCTCATGTACTCTCTCACTCTCTCTCATTCTCGCTCTCTCAAATAAATAAATAAATCTTTAAAAAAATATTTATCACTGCTCTAATATAGATTTATTTCATGGGTCAGGCCTCGGGAACAAGTGCTTCATCTTGAAGAAATGAATAAATGAATTGTAACTTTCAGCGTAGCAAAGAGCTATACTGTGAGAAACTGGCATGTGGCCACAAGTGATAGTCCTTCCTATAGTAATTTCGTTAAAAATCCAAATTTTGGTTGCATACATTGCCTAAAACATACATTAAACATTTTTTGACCTGAAGCTTTTGTAATTAAATCCAGTTTTGTCTTATAATGCTGATAGCATAAATATTTCCTAATTTTAGAACATCTTCCATTTATAGAAAAAAGGATAATCATTACTACAATTGTTTTTTTGGGGGGTACCAAATTACTTTGTTTGAAGAATGGTACAAATGAAAGAAGTTAAGTAGATGTTTTGGTACAACTTATAGAAAAGGTAAAGGTAACCCCAACATGCATGCACTGCCTTGGTGACCAGGAAAGTCACCCTTATGGCTATGGGAAGACAGCCTAAGGCTTAGCTCTCACTATCACTATTTCCCAAGGTGTGCTACTACAATTGTTTTTTAAGATTTTATTTATTTATTAGAGTATGAGCGGGGGTGGGGGGTGGGGGGGAGGGCCAAGGAGGAGGGAGAAGAAGAAGCAGACTCCCCACTGAGCAGGGAGCCCAAGGCTGGTCTCCACCCCAGGACTCTGAGAGCACAACGTGAGCCAAGCAGACACTTAACCAACTGAGCCACCCAGGTACCCCACAAAGTTTATATTTTTTAAAAATTCGACTTTTGTGGGCGCCTGGGTGGCTCAGTTTGTTGGGCGACTGCCTTCAGCTCGGGTCATGATCCCGGAGTCCTGGGATCGAGTCCCGTGTCGGGCTCCCTGCTCGGCAGGGAGTCTGCTTCTCCCTCTGACCGTACCCCCTCTTGTGCTTTCTCTCTCTCTCTCAAGTAAGTAAAAAAAAAAAAATTGGACTTTTTCTTTTTTGTTCTTGGAAATAGTAATAAATGTAAACAGAGAATTTTCCATTTCAGTAAAATGGTCAAGTTAAAAACACTGTAACCTTACATCATTGATCATGTGTTCTATATCCATCAGGAACATGGAAAGTAATGGTGTTTTCTACTTTTTCATTTCCTAATGTTAGCGTTGAGAACAGTTAATACCAGACCTTTCCTCTCATAAACTTGCAACACAGAATGAGGAAGTTTATTAAACTTTTGAATTTATATATTTAATACATTTGTGATAGCAATACCTTGCTGTACCAGATAGCAAGAAATCTTTTATTCATTATTGAGCAATTTATATAAAACAAATCCTCCAAAATTTTATCCTGTTGTACCATTATGTCCACTTGTTGATAGAGATTATTACTATCATATGTGTCTCCAAGCTTTAATTAGCCTTTAACAACATTCCTGTGACAGATTATTTTATTTAGGAAAATTGAACATTTTAGTTGGTTACTGCTCCAGAGAAAGATGATATAGCCACGGGAGCCTGGGTGGCTCAGATGGTTAAGTGTCTGCCTTCGGCTCAGGTCATGATCCCAGGGTCCTGGGATCGAGTTCCGCATCGGGCTCCCTGCTCAGCGGGGAGCCTGCTTCTCCCTCTGCTTCTCTCTCTCTTTCTGTCTCTCATGAATAAATAAATAAAATCTTAAAAAAGATGATATAGCCACTCAAGTTTTGATTAATGTCCTTGCTACTAAATAATGCTTCTAACTGGAGAGCCCTGAAATGGCAAATTGTTTCTTTCAAGTCTAGAAAAGCAAAAGGCCCTTTTCATTATGCTTATTACTATTTTGGTTGAATTCTGCATTGCCTTAATTTAAAGTAATCAATGATATTTATATTTATGATTACATAAATCATATATGATTTATGTATAGGCCAGCTATTTTGAATATGCATACCTTGAAATTTAAATTAACACAATGCCCAGAATGTAAGTATGTTCTGGTTAATTTAATTGTCTACTCTTAGAATTAACCTAACTCATTTTGTTTCAGCACTTAGTGAAAAATCAATCTAAAATGTTTTTTTTTTATTGCTTTAACAAATATACCTTCTCATAAATATAATGTAAATACCCTTTGAGTCAGGATCATTGTTGCAAAGTTTCTAGCCAACAAATGTTAGTAATAGTGACAGTAATAAAACTGACAGCCACACCTTACATTCTTACCTAACACATCTGCATGGGAGCAGGGACTCATGATAAGTATGTGAGTTGTTCCCAACAGAAGCACAGATATCACTGAAGATCATTTCTTACTGATCAGTATTCTAATGCATTTAGGTATTCATTTATCTCCTTTTCTGAGGGTAGCATTTTATTCTCTGATTAATTCTCCCCTGAAGCCTGATGGGGATATGAAACAAATATGTAGAATATTTTATCATCTGAAGATCATATGATTAGGTACCTATATGAGAGCTCAACCTATGGGCATTCTAGGATTTAAGAGTAAGGAGAGATTAGCGATTACCAGTCATTGGTAGAGGTGAATTCTTTGAGAAACTGCTGAGTAAATGAGACTTTGGAGGATGAGTATAATTTAGGTTCTGCGAAGTGGAAGGTAAAAGGGAGGGTAGCAAAATAGCTATAACCCAGGCGGGAGATGTTACAAAGTGCCAACAAACTGGGATTGAAGATCTAGTACTCTGGGGAGAGGGAAAAATTCACAGTGATGGAGGCCATAGGATACTGAATTAAATTTTTTTAAAAGATTTTATTTATTTATTTGACAGAGAGAGACACAGCGAGAGAGAGAACACAAGCAGGGGGAGTGGGAGAGGGAGAAGCAGGCTTCCCGCCGAGCAGGGAGCCCGATGTGGGGCTCGATCCCAGGACCCCAGGATCATGACCTGAACCGAAGGCAGATGCTTAACAACTGAGCCACCCAGGCGCCCCTTGAATTAAATATTTACTGAGCTCAGAAAGTAGTCAGAACCATTGCTTTTTTTCTTACTAATTCAATCCCTGATGGCTTGTTTACTTATATTTTTCTTATTTTTTCTCTTCTATGTGAAAAGTCAGATAAAAGGCAAAGTTGGTTGGAAATTTTGGTTGATTTTAGTTAATTGAGAATTTGCTGGGTTTTGCTTAAGTGGATTTTATTTTGTTAGGTTTTACTTTTATTCCAGTTATCATACAAGATAATATTAGTTTCATTTCTACAATACAGTGATTCAGCACTTCCATACATCACCGGTGCTCATCACAAGTGTACTCCTTAATCCCCATCACCTATTTAGCCCATCCCCCCACCTACCTCCCCTGGGGTTACCATTTGTTTGTTCTCTAGAGTTAAGAGTGTTTAAATGGATTTTAGATTCAAGGTATAACCTGATCAGAAGCCTCAATAAGTATCTAGATTTTGAAATACTTTGTATATTTTCCTGATATACTGCTTTTTCTTTTAAAAAATTGTGTGGTTTTATTTTAGAAAAGCCAGTGAGGGTTTGAAGAGTATAAATCCAGATGAGACAGCACCTTCTATGCGATTGCTGGCCTATGGTAAGTTGAAACTGCATGGTGTCATTTAGAGAAAAAGCCAGATTTGACATAAAGTCCATTTTTATTTTTTGTATCTTTGTAGGTTTTTTTTTTTTTTTTAGAAAAAAGATTTGCCCATTTGAGAGAGAGAGTGCTTGCACGCATGCGGTGGGGGGGGTGGGGGAGCAGAGGGAGAGGAAGAGGGGGAGAGAGAGAATCTCCAGCAGACTCCCCACTGAGCAGGGAGCCCAATGTGGAGTTCGATCCCGTGACCCTGAGATGACCTGAGCTGAAATCAAGAGTCAGAGACTTAACAGACTGAGCCACCTAGGCACCCCATATTTGTAGATTTTAAATAGTTTTTATTATTGCCTTGGCCTTTTGGTGTATATTGTTTATTTTTCTAGCTTTCCAGGACCATTATATAAAGGGAAGTAATTATAGGTGACCTGTATGTCCATTAAATAATTAACCAGGTTTGAAAGTTGGGCTTTTACTATGCATATACTCTAGTTAACAGTTTTTAAGTGATGTTACTGTTTTCTTCTCCGGGTGGTTACCGTGACTTTGGCTGTGGTAGGAGGACTTTTCATATTAATACAGTTAATACCTCTGCAGGGTTTTCTTTCAGAATTATGTTTTAAAGGTTGTGTCTAGATCCCTAAGTTGAGTCACCCTAGTTTGACCCAGGGATTACTTTCTACTGTAGGCAGTCGTCCCTCAAGCTTGGTTCCAGTTTTAAGCCCTCATACTTAATTCTACAGACTTCTATCATGAATCAAAGCCAGAACTTGAGCATTGTGTCCTCGGTCTTGCCTCTTGTTTCTGTGCCTTTCTAGATCTTTTTCTTTTCTCATTTCTCTGCTACATTCCATTGTTCATTCCCCTTCCTTTTACACCCTTCTCTGTTTATCATTTAGCCAAGCACTCACCTTTCCTGAGCCAGCCTTCCACTGCTTCTCCAACAGCATGCATACCGTTTCCCCTTTAAAATAGTATTCTCTAGTCCTTGGAAACTTGATTTGAAGAGAAATCATAGCCTGAAAAGGATCTAATGTGTTTCTCCCTCTTTAGTTTCTGGTTTAGGCTTTGGAATCATGAGTGGAGTATTTGCCTTTGTAAATACCCTTTCCGACTCCTTGGGACCAGGCACAGTGGGCATTCATGGAGATTCTCCCCAGTTCTTCCTAAATTCAGGTATGTGCCTACTAGTTGTGAATGTTCAGTCTTCTGGTCTAAATAATCATCCTTATTGGAGTTCTCTGGCTTAGCAATTCAAAATTTAAATTTATATGATACCTTCTAAAGGCAAAATACTGTTAGATATCAGAAGTAAAGGATGTAGGAAAGTAAAAATTTTGGTTAGAGAATTTTAGAATTTTGGGATGGAATTTAGCATATATAAAATTTATTTTTATTTTACTATACTAAAGTTGATGTGTAGTTGATGTATTATAAGTGAATTTTTATAGGCTATATGATTTTTTATTTTTATTGGTTTGCATTTATCTTCAGTATAAGCCTTAGTCTTTAATTAGTCATCTTGGTCCCTTTTTGGGATAAGCACTATAATTGAATTTTGAAACTGAGAGGAGGGAAAATGCTTCTTATTTAATGTAAACTAATGTATGCATCTAAAATGTATATTTAGGGGCACCTGGGTGGCTCAGTCGGTTAAGTGACTGCCTTCGGCTCAGGTCATGATCCTGGAATCCTGGGATCAAGTCCCGCATCGGGCTCCCCGCTCAGGGAGGAGCCTGCTTCTCCCTCTAACCCTCCCGCCTCTCATGTACTTTCTCTCTCTCTCATTCTCTCTCTCAAATAAATAAATCTTAAAAAAAAAAAAAGAACACAGAAAGGCTGTGACTTAAAAAATAAATAAATAAAATGTACATTTAAACATATCTGTATCATTTAAAAAATAACAACCCCTTCTTCCCTTTTTCTTAAGAACTAGAACATTAACAGAGTACTTAGAGTCCCTTGTTTCTCATTGTTTTTTCCCCACAGGTAACTATTGCCCTGATTTTGTGTTATTAATTCCCTAGGGTTTGAAAGCTAGGTTTTTAACATATATACATGTCTTGTTTTGAAGGTAAAACATGAAACTTTTACCTTCATGTATGTATCTGAAAAAAATTAATAGTTTTCCTGCTTTTGAAACATTTAAAAATAAATCATGCTATATTCTTTGAAAAAAGAAGTTGAGAGGAAAAAATGATAATAGATGAGTTGGCCTTTTTATCCAAAGATGCAGTAGAAAAGAACCAGCTCATTTCAAACTACTTTTTCATCCACCAGGTGAAAAATTGTCATCATGATGCAGTGATCATGCATTTGAGAGTTGTACATAATTAACATAAAATTTCTCTTAAATTTTCAAGAGGAATCTTTTAAAAATGGCTTTAAGAAAATTCCACTGTATTTTTTTTATCTCTACAAGTTATATTATTAAATTAAGTGACCTCCTCATGCATATATCCTATTAATTAAATATTACTTATTTAACATCTATACTAACGGAATTTCTGTCCTCAAGGAGCTTACCCTCTAATAGAGAAAACAAGACTAAACAAAAGTGAGTAACTATTTTAATACAGTTTAAGATAATAATAGAACCAGATATAGGAATGTATGCCCAGATTTTAAAAACTGCTGTAGTAGTTCACAGTCATCCTGCCTGTTATAGTGATCCCTAAACCCTGTGGATTCTTGTTCCTCATTTTAGTCCAGGCCTTGGTATCTCTTGTCTAGATTACTGCCATCAACCAACCCCCAACTGGTTAGTCTTTCCTCAACCCACTTTCATGTGAATCTGGCCTGTATGTATGCAGCCACCAAACGATCTTCCCTGTACAAAAAAGTATAATGACTTTCCAAGGTCTGTCCTTTCTAAGGAATAAGTCAAGGCCTATTACATCAGGCTACAAGTTCATGGGTTGGAATTATTTAGTGGTGCCTTCAACAAAGGCACAAATTTTCTTCATTTTAAGCATTCCATAATTAGAATATTTCTGACAGTTTTTTGATGAATTGTAATGAGTGTTAGGTTTTTAGAACAAATGTAATGTTAATAGCTAACATCTGTTAGAGTCCAATATAAATTAACAAAACATAATCAGGAGGGGGTATTACTGCTACAGTTTTCCATATTTTCTAAAATTGGTCTATTATACTGCTACATAAGTAATTTTTGTTTGGTTCAAGTAGCATTCTCCTAATGGAATTTATTTTTCTGCTAGCTTCTTTCACTAGATGGTGCTAATTCCCTTTCATTAAGACTAACTTAAAATGATTCTTTTGGAAGAAAGTGAAAGAAAGATGTGCTGGCAGTTTGGGGGTTGTATTTGCAATTTCTGTAAATTCAAGGGAAAATTCAGTATTCAAAAGAAAATAGTTTAATGTCTTTAGCAGTTAGGATGGCTATGAATATATGCTATGAATATATACCTATAGACTAAAAGAACAGTATTTTATCGTATGCAAGAGTATATTTATTATAGCATCATTGTTTGGAGCATAAACTTTGAATTATACATTTAAGAAATTACTTTTCATTGCATTTTAAAATAGTAACCCCAAATTCGTATATATTTGTGTTTGTTGTATGTATTATTTATAACTGCTATTGTTACCACTTATTTAGGCATGAGCTCATTTTTAATTTGTCAGTTAAATCTATAAGTTTATATGTTTAGCGTATTTTATTACAAGTGCCTAACTAGTAATCAGAATAAATAAGGCCTTTGGGGTCACTAATTAGTGTATTTATGTTAGTATTAGAGATACACTGTATGATACCTGTGTGTACATAGGTTTTCATGTTACAGGTAGGCATAGTTTATAAATAATATGTATGTATAAGTTAATTATTTTTTATTTGTAGTTGTGTAGTATTAACTTTTCTTAGAATCATTACCATTTCTTAGTAATACAATATAAAGGCAAAAGTATGGAAATTGGAGTCCTAAGTTCAAGTCTTATTGTGGCTCATTAATTTAGTATTTTGGGCAAATCCATTTGATTGTTTTATCACTCATTCCACAAATGAGTATTAAGTATTTTTATTAAATAGAAGTTATACCAAGCTATGACAATACAGTTTAGTTAATGCCTATACCTTTCACTCATAGTGGGAAATAAAGACAAACAGCTAATTATAATAAAGTGTGACAAATGCTATGATGAGGAAGAACCATGAGCACACACAAGTCAAGCTCTAACTCACACTCACATGGTATTATGCTTCTATTTTGTAGTACTTCCTGCACTTGTAATTAATTGGTCAACTGTGTAGTTATTTATGTCTCTCCAGCCAGATGCTAAGCCTTTTAAGTGCAAGGACTGTGTCTGTTTTGTTCACCCCTGCACTTTGTGGAGTCCTTTATTGCTAGATGGATTCAAATATTGATTGAAAAAATGAAAGCTAGGCCCAGCTTATGGGGGAAGTGCTATTTGACTAGAAACTGAAAGGATGAATAATAGCTAGGCAGGCAAAAGAAGGAGGTTGTCGGGGAGGATGTTCCCCGTGGAGGGAAGGGGTGTCTTCCCTGCTGGCCTAGAGGTAAGAAGGACATTTTTCATTGGGCAAAGGAAGTACTGGACTTCTGTCTAACTCTCAATTTCCTCATCTTTCAGGAAGAACAAAAATAATACCTAGCTCAGAGTTGTAATGAATTAAATGAAATTAGAGAGTATATATTTAAGTGATCTAATAAACTTTAAAATGGCCTAAAGATAGAAAATTTGGTTCTTATCAGGGTAGAGAATTTGGTTCTTGAAATTAAAAAACAGAATTTAGAGGATAACTTCTTTATGTGGAATTTGGGTTTATCACTCCGAATTGCCTCCCTTATGCTTTAGAAGAAAAACGTCTTTAGTACTCAGTCAGAAGGGAAGCTAATACTTTATTTTTAAAACTTCCCCAAATCAGGGGCACCAGGGTGGCTCAATCAGTTGACTTTCTGACTCTTGATTTCAGCTCAGGTCATGATCTCAGGGTCATTAGATCAAGCCCCAAATTGTCATTGGGCTCCGTGCTCAGCAGGGAGTCTGCTTGAGATTCTCTCCCTCTCTTTCTGCCCCTTCCCTGCTCATGCCTGTAATGTGCTTGTGTGCACACGTTCTCTCTCTCTCTCAAATCTTTAAGAAAAACCAAAACTTCCCCAAATAATTTCATTTATATTTTCTTGGCAGTGCTCCTGTCTAGGTAAGGTTTTAAACTTTTTAGCCACTCACTAGGAGAAGTCAATACAGGTCAGACCCCATGTGGAGTATCATGTTCAGTTCTGAACATTGTGATTTAACAGGAATTCTGAAGAACTAAAATTGGTACAGAAGAACAGTGTGAGGATGGTGAAACACCTAGAAGTGGTATCTTATGGGGGCTGATTGAAGGAAGAGGAATGTTAAACTTGAAGGAAAATAAAAGAAAGAGGAATATAAGAGATTCCATTTTTGTCCCAATTTGTCATTCCTTTTTATAGAATTCCACACCCTTGCATGGCCTCATCGTGGCCAGGATATACTTCCCTGCCCCTGAGGTTGAACTCAGTTATGTGGCTTCAGTTGGTTAATTAGTGAATGTAAGGTAACTCAGAAGCTAAAATACCACTTGCATGGTTGGGCCTGAGCTTTTGGACTCTGGTCATATTCCATGAGACTATGTCCCACATAATTAATACCCACTTGACCTCGACCCCAGAATGAACATGTCTAGGGCAGACCTGTATGCAGCAGCAGTGAGGAGTCAAATCCAGCTGTACCAGCAGCCTACAGCAGTGCTGCCTTGGCTGAGCCCAGCCTTAATCAGCCAAAGCACAGTTGACCTTCAGACCAATGAGCATGAGAATAAATCCTTGGTGTTGTAACCCAGTGAAGTTTCTTTTTTCATACATTCATTTTTTTGCAACAATATTTTAAGTATCATCTTTGTAATATGTCAAGTTTGTTACATGTTTAGACTTTTATTTATTTTTTTTTAAGATTTTATTTATTTGACAGAGAGACAGCAAGAGAGGGAACACAAGCAGGCTTCCCGTGGAGCAGGGAGCCCAATGTGGGACTCGATCCCAGGACCCTGGGATCATGACCTGAGCCAAAGGCAGACGCTTAACAACTGAGCCACCCAGGCACCCCACATGTTTAGACTTTTAAATGAAAGCTCATTGTAAGCAAGATTATCTTAAATAGCTACC